CTGCGATTCTCATCCCTCATTAACCCGTCTTCTATCATCTTGTAGAAGTTGCCATTGCTGCTAGCAAGTTTTCTCAGGCTCCATCTGCTAGATATCTCAGCCCTGCTCACGATCCGCCTCAATTATTTTAGAATTTTCCATCTTAAGAAAATTTAGGCGGACCAGATCTAAACTGCTGAAAACTTCCTCACGTTGTTTCGGTAAAGAGTACCCAAATAAATAACCTTTCTTGTCGTTTCAATGCTCCTAAGGGAGCTTAGAATGTCGGTGTCTGGGTTCCGAGGATGACGATTGAAGGCACTTTAAGCAAATATCAAGCGCCCATCATCAACATCGTAGACAATAGAAGAAACTGCTTGTACCCTAAAAACAGAACGCTTCTCCTTTCGACCCATTCCTTCAGAACTTGAAGCTGCTGCACACGATGTTCTACCTTAACCGAGTAGAAGTCGTAGAGGGGTATCTCTTCGACTTGCCATGTAAAAAACTCCTTCAAGATGGGTAGAATTTCCCGGGGAAGCACAACTAGCCTAAAATTTCGCCATAAAGCTTTGAAGGAAACTGGTTATCATGAACATTTTACCGGAGCCGGGAGCATGAGCCATGATACAACTTCCGAGGTTCTCGGACACTACATTATTTGTAAGCAAATTGAATCCCTCAACTTGATGAGGTTTTATCTCCCTTCGGTGTCGCGGATGTGGATGCATATCAACAGTAGTAAGATCATTATGTTGCAACTAGAATTGACAAAATTGAGAACCACAAAATTGGGACAAAGAAAAGTTAAAGGAGAAAGAAGAAAACTTTCTTGTCTTATTGCTACACGATCAAAAAAAAAAAAAAAAAACCTGCATAAATGTTAGTATGCTAAACCAAGTCAAATAATGTTTGTTAGCAGTGGAGTAGTTGTTGGCTTATTTTTAAGAATACTCAGTTACTTTATTTACTATAAATGTGAGTTTTTGCAGTGTCAATTTGATAAAATATATATATATATATATAAAGTATCAAGTTATTGTCCTTTTATCTCTAGGTTTTTCCTCCTTATGTCTACATCTGGTATCAGAGCCACGGAAACCCTTTTTCCCTATTAACTATCTCTTCCTGCTAAGGTCTTTCGTCTTTTCTTTATTTTGACCTGCAAGTTACCGAGAGTGCAAATCACATTTATTTCATTGGTATCTTTCTCTCGTGAGAAATGGCAACCAGTTTTAATGTTGTGTGGATTGGTTCGAAATTAGATGGAAACTTGGATTACAATTATTGGCAGATAATGATGTCTACACATCTGAAGGCCCAAATCCTATGGGCGTTTGTTGAGCCGGGACTTGCAGATAGAGCAGACGCAAATACTCAACGACGGGATCAAACTTGCCCTAGGTCAGATCCACCAAGGTGTTGATTACTCTGTTTTTGGGCAAATAGCAAGTGCGAAGACTGCAAAGGAAGCGTGGGACATCTTGAGGATGTCATACAATGGAGTCGATCGAGCCCAAAAAATCTAAATTACAGTCATTAAGAAGATTGTAAGATCAATGCGAGATGACATCTACAAAGACAGTGGAGCAATATTTTTTTTTTTGTCTCACTAATCTTGTCAACAAAATGAGGTTATCTGGAGACGAAATTGAAGATGGTACTGTGGTTGAGAAAGATGCCGATGAAGTATGATCATGCGGTGGCTTCTATAATTGAGTCCCATGATACCGAACTATTATCGGTTGCGGAGTTGAAAGGTATGATTGAGAGCCACATCGATCGGATTGTTGCAAAGACAGAAGTGCCAATTGAAGAAGCCCTGAAAAGCCAAATTACTTTGAACCCAAATGCATTTCAGAACGAGGAAGGACTGAGCAGAGGCCGTGGAAGAGAAAGAGGAAGGGGAAATTTTAGAGGACGGGAATGTGGAATCACATATCACAGAGCAGAGATACATATAACAACCAAGATAAGTTTCCCTTTCATTGTTATAATTGTGGCAAGTATGGACATAGGATTGCAGATTGTTGGCAGAAGAATTCTAACAACCAAGCACATCTCGCTGAGAACTGATGAATGCGGTAATGAAGCTGAAACTTTACTTTTAGCCAGTGACATGGTTCATGCAGATGAGAACACATGATTTTTGGATACCGGATGCAATAATCATATGTGTGGGAACAAAGAGTTATTCTTTGAATTGGATCAATCTATCCAATCTGAGGTTACCTTTGGAAATAAGTCGAAGGTTCCAATTTTGGGAAAAGGTAAAGTCTCCGTACGGTTGAAAAATGGGACTCTGAATTTTATATCTGATGTTTTTTATGTTCCTGATCTTCATCAAAATTTGTTAAGTGTGGGACAATTAGCAGATAAAGGTTTTATTCCTTAGTCCACTGTTCGTATGATGTTTTTCTTTTTGATTCTTGTTGCAAATCCCCCGTAATAATATACTATATTAATAATACAAAATAGCTTATTAAGATTTATACATAAACAATTTAATACTTTAATTTGTTTTTTCATAAAACATATAACTAGACACATTGCATATAACTAGACAGCCTATAGACCATATAGAAAATATAGTAAATAGTGTAACAATATTGAATTGAATATGAGATAAGATATTTTACAAACATAAAATATATAATTAACAAATTATAAAATATCAAACAGATTAACATGTGCAGTAAATACAAATGAAACCAATCAACAACATGCAACCAAAATCAAACCATGAAAAATTTGATTTTGGTATCAATATTTATTAAATTGTAAATAAATTTGTCCTCCAGTTTCAAACCTAGATTGGTTTTTCGATTTCAAATACTGAACCGAAATTAATTTTTGAACAGTCCAATTTCAGTTCTTATGTTCTTGAAATCATAAACTGTCGGTTCTAATAGAGGAGTATGAAGAACGGAAAAAAATCGATGCAGCAATTGATGCTAAAAGAAGTTAGTGCAATCGACACACAAAGGAGAAAACAAAACGGTGCCCAAAAACAATAACAACCGGAGCGACTGATTATGTAAAATGACCGGCGGCCGCAACTTTATTAGGTTTTGTAAACATATTTTATAAGTATATATATAATATAATACGCAGTATTACATTCATATAAAATAAAAAATATATAAAAATATTATATATATTATTAATAACGTATAGAAGAATAATATTTTAAATTCTATAATTTTAATTATATAACCATTATTATATTAATTTGATTTAATTTGTTAGAATTTTAATATAATTTTTTTTTATGTGTATATGCATTATTAATGTAACAAATTTACTGTAAAATGATAATGAAATATAATGAATATGGAGAAGAATAATATATCATTGCCAAGTGATTTGTGTTCAAATCTTCTCCATATTCTTTTTAATTAAAATTTATTTACATAGTTTTTATGCAACACAAAATAAGAATTAATAAATTAAAATTTTCAATTAAAAATATATAATTTTAAAAAATTTGGTATAATTTGCAATTATATTTTATTTTTTAAAATTATTATCATTTTTCACTAGTATATTTTGAAATTATTATTATTTTATTAAAATATTACATAAATACTATCATAATATTTATCACTTCTAAAAATAATAATAATAATAATAATAATAATAATAATAATAATAGTAACAACATATTTTTAAGAATCCATAAAAAGCTCTATTGGTCAGGATAGATTTCATAGTGTACAATTTTTTCATAACTTTCCTTTAAAATCCAATAAAATCCGTATACTTTCAAAGTTTATAAATTATTTAATACCTTCAGATTTTAAAAAACTTTTAAATGTCTGAATTAGATACTCTAGATTTTAAAAGAGTTTTAAAAGTAAAAGTCTGAATTGAATACTTTCAAATTTTAAAATATTTTTAAAAATCTGAATCGAATACACCCAAATTTTAAAAGTTCAATAAAATCCTACCGTTGATGTATTTTTTCAACAAACAAAAAGTAAAATTCAAAGATATGGAAATATCCTTAAATTTGATTAATTAGTGTATGAAATTAGGAATCTCTAAACACGGTACATAAGAAAATTAACTGGAAAATAAAATGTTGAAATTTAAAGTGGTGATCCCCAAATCTGACTTTGCTTTGTTGAAGTTGATTGAAGATACCATCTCAAGAGATCCAAATCTTTAAATACTTCATGAGAAATTGTACTGGAAACCGTCGCCTGAACAGTTACAACGTCTCTTTTTCAACCGTCTGCCAACCCTTCTCCTGCTGACACGTGTCCTTAGCAGACCCACATTATCACTCTATTCCACTCTTAACAGCATCCGCCTCTTTGGACCGATCGCAGACCTTCCGCCCTTTTGGTCCAAACACTACTCTTCCACCTTATTGGCCCGACTACCAATCTTCCCAACTTGCGGGCCACCCGACTTGTTGATCCAGTCGCAGATCACCCGACCTAAAGACCATCCGACTTACTGGTCAAGTCGCAGACCTCCCGATCTAAAAACCATCCGACTTACTGGTCTAATCGCAGACCTCCCGACTTACTGGTCAAGTCGCAGACCTCCCAATCTAAAAACCATCCGACTTACTGGTCTAATCGCAGACCTCCCGACCTAAAGACCATCCGACTTATTGGTCTTTCCGTCATGAGGACTTCCCGATCTGAGGACCTCCCGACCTGACCTTTCGACCTAAGGACCTCCCGACCTAAAGACTTTCCGTCCCGAGGACTTTCCGACCTGCGGACTTCCCGACCTAAGGACTTTCCGACCTGAAGACTTCTCGACCTGAGGACTTTCCGACCTGAAGACTTCCCGACCTGAGGACTTCCCGACCTGAGGACCTTCCGTCCTGCATTTTCCTTAGAAATTAACCTATTTTCCTTGAGTTCCCCACGGTGCCCTTCAACCAGTTCGATCAACTCTATTACCAGGCCCATTTTTTCTTTTACCTTGGGCTTTTTAACCTAATTCTAAATTTCATATGTAACACCTACAAAGCTGTCCATTGTTGGAAAAGGAAGAAAGCAATGATGCTTGCTGCTGCTGTCTGGAATAAGTCCCCGGAGCTGTTGGCTGCCGATGGCTGGCTGATTCACCGGAAGAGAGCCACCGCAGGTCTGTCGTGAGTTCATCAGAGAAGAATGCCGGAGGGGTGCTGCTGGTCTCTGGAAGAACTGTTGCCCGTCGTCGCTGTTGTCGGAGAAACACTCGTAGTTGTCGTGGTTGGAATTCCCAAAACAGAGAAGAAGACGGACAGGAAGAATCCTAAATTGTCTTCAATAATTTAGTTTGCTTTTAGTTTCCATACTTCAGAAAATTAATTTGGCCTTATGGTGTTGTTATTTCAATTTCATTCGGTTTAATATTATTTTGGTTTTATTCGATTGTTGCTTCCAGTAGTATTTTGTATTTTTATACGAGGTTTGTTCGAACAATGTCATCTGATTTGAGATATAAATTCACAAATTTTCATAAGAGTTGGACATGGGAAAAAACGAACACCTAAGTGAATATAGGAGTGAGTTAGCCATTCACAGACGCCAACTATTCGAGGACTTTTCCAGAATGAAGTTATTTGTTCGGAGCCCTGCCAGCCCTCATCCTGAAATTATCATTATCAGTGATCAAGATGACGATGACACAGAAGAGTGGACTGAGGACATCAAACCTCAAGCTGACATGTCTGAGCATTGTACAAATTCACCAATGCACGATCCTTCGGTAGTTTAATTCTGAACATTGGTACCCATAATCAACTTATTAATTGACCAGCGCAATTTACACACTATTCACTTAATTAACACTGCTACTACTGCGGATCAGCATATCAGTTTCATCGAAGTTTACACACACACATATATATTCATTTTTTTGTTCGATGTTTCAGGATATTTTCGAACTTACTCAGCATGAGAAAAATGGTGGCGAGGAAGAAGATGAGCCTGAGCACTCTTCGATATTCAACATGAATGTTTGTCACATTTGTGGAGTGATTGAAAGGCCAATTGAAACTATCGAATATAAGTTCTCGAAGGTATGGATTTTCATTCACTATGTTTACTTATGTTTCAAAATTCTTTTAACACTATTTATCAAATTTGGATTTCTCTAAAAACAAATATAAAATGTACGTAATATATTTTCAAAACTTCACGTTCAATCCTCTTTTTATATAACATTAAATATCTGTTTCTAAATTAATCCAAAATCATTTAGGCATATCAAATGTGTCTTCATATTCAATTTTCTATTCATTTTTTTTTTTTTTATTATTATTATTTCTAAATTAATCTTTAACCAACATTACTTTCAAAATATATTTAGTTGTATCAAAAGTTTCTTTATTAATATGCATTATCATATTTATAATGTTTTTACAAGTTGAGACCACTCATTTTCATGCAATATTTAAAGGCAAGCCAAGACGCATCATCCGAATGATTGTAATGTAATTTCGTATTAGTCTATCTTTGGCTGTAAAATTGCAATAATTTACTCTCAGTGGATTAAGTAGAACCATGCATTTTGAAATGTTTAATTTATAGTGACCTTATAAAAGAATATAGCACTAGTTGGCATAGATATTTATCATCTCAATTCTAGTATAGCAATAGACACATATGTTTAGTAAGGGTTTTTTCGTTTGAAGAATTTTACCAAAATTTTACTATTCATCCAAAATTTTCTCCCCAAAAATATCAAATCAAACACCTATTTTTTATTTTTTATATTATACTAAAAATCAATTTTACATTCAAAACATCACATCAACACCTATTATTTATATCACATCATACAATTATTCAAATTCAAAATTTTTACTATTCAAATCCCAACTCAAAATCCAAACCCCTAAACAAACACACCCTAAGTGTCTTTTTTATTCATCAAACCGTGAGATTTAAATTCAACCATTCATCCAATTTTTTCTCCCCAAAAACATCAAATCAAACACCTATTTGTCATTTTTTATATTATACTAAAAGTCAATTTTACATTCAAAACATCACATCAATACCTATTTATATCACATCATACAACTATTCAAATTCAAAATTTTTACTATTCAAATCCCAATCTAAAATCCAAACCCCCAAACAAACGCACCCTAATTTTACGAGGATGATGGATTAAAATCCGGCTTAGATTAGCTTCTTAAGGGGTTGTAAATTTCTACTTATAACACTATTAAGTTAAAATTACCCTTTTATTCCTAATAATAATAATTAGAAAAATAATAGTAATATACTATAGTTCAATTAAAATTCAAAATATAATTATACTTTTATTTTTAATTTATATGTTATATTCAAATTAAAATTTAAAATTATAATTGAGATATTAAATATAAAAATATAAATTTTTAGTTATACGAGGAACATAAAATTATTAATTCTATCGTTTATAAAATGTTAAAATAAATTGTAAAGTACAATTAATGTAAAATTAAATATTATTTATATTTAACTAAAATTTAATTTAATTTTTTAATACAGTTAACAAATAAATAAATAAATAAATAATTTATTGAAGTTAATGTATATTAACTGTCTTTTGAAAAAAATTTACCGTAGCAATTTCAACTTTATATCCAACTAATTTTATTTATTTATTTATTGTTTCTTTAAGTTTTTATTTTTATTTTATTTTATTTTATTTTTATAAAAATTTATCTAAATATAAAATCAAACATATTTTACTTTAAACTTTTCATTTTGACTTTTACTTATTTTTAAGTTATTTATTGTAGATGAAATTTATGTTCTATTTTTAGAATGATGATGTCCTCTCAAAAACTCATAATGATTAACCTATATACAATAAATATGAATTTAATAACGTATGATAATAAAGTTAAATAACATTGCACTTAAAATAAGATATTAGTTAGTTAAATTATCTATAACTTAATTAAACTAATGAATATGAGATATTTTAAACAAGACTAGACAAACCGGTAAATATTTTAAAAAAAAAAACTAATAATCTTATTTGAAATTAAAATGATAATTCAAATATATATTTTTTAGAAGACCAAATTGTTGTTTATGGGCTTAAGCCCTCTATTTTGGCCAACATTTGAATTTTAAATGCCTAATTTTATTAAAAGACCTTTTGGTCACTTACTAAAAAAAAAAAAGTTGAAATTAAATTCTTTCGCCTCAAGGTTTTTATCTTAAAACACATCGAAACTAGATACTTTCATCTGAAGGTTGATAAGATTTGAAAAAATGGGCAGTTGAGTAAGATATCAAAATTGCTTGGAAGATCATCCGGTCGCTCACACAACGTCCAGATTGTAGAGGAGAGGAATACAATAGAAGATCCAGAAGTTACAAGTTCATATCATGTTGGTTATTTTGCTGTCATTGATTTTATTCGAAAATAAGGAATGTTGTATCGAACTATTTTTCGGAAAGAATCGCGTGGGGTACGCGTTCGAGAAAGCCTATACGATATTGAACGAAGTATGAAATAATATAATGAAGGTGAAAAGTATGGTACCTATTGTTTGAAAATTATTATTTTCAATTTAAGAATTAAATTAATTAATTCATGCCTTTAATCTTCAAATTTTCAAATTTAATTGATTTTAAATTTGAATTGACAACATGAATAGATGAAATCTTTTCAATTTAAAATTAAAGTTGTATATTTTCACTAAAGGTTGTGTCTTTTGGATTTAAAATTAAAGTTCAAATATTCTCAGAAAAGACACTTCCGAATGTATTTATATTTATTTGTAAATCTAATAATAAAAATGAGTTGAAGATAAACACAAACACGTCTTCGAGGTTTCCCTACTACTTCTAGGTTCGACCTTCATGTTTTTGGTTACTCCATATGCCACGCTGACTGCAGACTGCTATTTTCTCCCAACTTTATTCTATTCTTTTCATATTACTTTTGTGTGATCTCCCTTTTCATGAACAGATATGAGTTCCAGAGACAAAAAAAGGATGAAAATGGATCAAGGAGTCGAATCCAATGAAAATGCATGCTCGAACTCAAGGGGATCCCATTCCAACTTTGTAAATGACCGTGAATCAATAGCCGCAGGAAAGATTCAGGAAGGGTTGGATGAGGGAAAAAACAAACACTTGAGTGAAGGCGAGGATGACGGCTCGGATGATGAAAGTGAGCAGGAAAGTGAAGAGGCTCCGGATGCCAGTTCCGATGACCTGGGTGACCCGTGGAGAGAGATGGCAGTTGCAATGGAGTGTGCGAAGGTGGTAACACTTTCTCTTACACATATAGAATTACATATTTATTTTGGAACTACAGTTGGGTTTATTTTAGAGGCTGTCATGTTTAGTTTATGTTAACCAGGACCAGCATATCAGTTTCATTCCAAGTTTATGTACATATATTCAATTTTTTGTTCAACTTGTTTCAGGATGTCTTCAAACCTACTCTGCATGAAAAAAATGACGGTGAGGATGAAGAAGACTGTGAGCATTCATTTATATTCAAAGATGATATAGGGGATGTTTGTCGCATTTGTGGGGTGATTAAAAGGCGAATCGAAACGATTATTGAATATAATTTCTCCAAGGTATGGCTTTCCGGTCACTACAATGTTGTACCTTATAATTTTTAGTTACTCAGTTTCTTATGAAACTTCTTATTTCCATGATATTCGTCAAAATTTGTTTTCTCTAACAAGAAGCATGAAATATGTAATGTATGTTCAAAACATCACATTCAAGCTTTTTTCTTAAACATCAAATATGAATTTGTATTCAATTTAGTTAATCAAAAAATATATTTAACCATACCAAAAGTTGTTTAAATTTCATTTTCTATTCAATTTAACGACTCTTTCCAAATTAATCTAAAATAAAAATTACTTTCAAAATATATTTAGTCATATCACAACTCTCTTTGTTAATTAGTATGAATTGTCATAGCTATAACCTGGCTTTGTAGTGGTACAATTATCTTAGTTCCTTTTATATGATTAATTAAAGACCTATTGCAATACTTCTAAAATCTTGTAGTCACGAAGAACAAGCTGAGACGACTAATTTGCATGTAGTATTTAAATGCAGGCCCAGACAAGTTCCCGAACTCGAAGATATGGAGGGTGGAGTCCTGGAGAGCATGATCAATCAGAAACCTTGCCGGATGGTTTAGATTTACCCAATAATAATGATCTTGTTGCTGCTGATATGCATCCACACCCGCGACACCGGAGGGAGATGAAACCTCATCAAGTTGACGGATTCAATTTTCTTGCGAACAATGTAATGTCTGAGAACCCTGGAGGTTGTATCATGGCTCATGCTCCCGGCTCCGGTAAGACATTCATGATCATCAGTTTCCTTCAGAGCTTCATGGCGAAGTATCCTGCTGCTCGGCCCCTGGTTGTGCTTCCCCGCGGGATTCTGCCCGTCTGGAAGAAGGAGTTTCTTACATGGCAAGTCGAAGAGATACCCCTCTACGACTTCTACTCAGTTAAGGCAGACAATCGTGTTCAGCAGCTTCAAGTTCTGAAGGAATGGGTCCAAATGAGGAGCATTCTTTTTTTAGGGTACAAGCAGTTTTCTTCCATCGTCTGCGAAGTTAATGGCGGGCCAGCTGCTTTGGCTTGCAAAAATTATTTGCTTAAAGTCCCTTCAATCGTCATCCTCGATGAAGGGCATACACCGCGGAACCCAGACACCAATATTCTGAGCTCTCTTGGGAGCATTGAAACCACAAGAAAGGTTGTTCTTTCGGGTACTCTTTACCAAAACAGCATGAGAGAAGTTTTCAGCATTTTAGATCTGGTCCGCCCGAATTTTCTGATGATGAAAGATTTTAAAATAATTTTGAGGCGAATGATGAGCAGGGCTGAGGTTTCTACTAGAGGGAGTCTGAGAAAACTTGGTAGCGGCAATGGTGGCTTCTACAAGACAATAGAAGATTGCTTGATAAGGGATGAGAATCGCAGCCGGAAAGTGGCTCTGATACAAGATTTGCGCGAGATGACTAGGAAGGTCCTGCACTACTACAAGGGGGACAACCTCGGAGAACTTCCGGGACTTGTAGATTTTGCTGTCTTCCTCAATCTCACTCCTGCTCAACAATCAGAAGTTGAGGTGACGAAAAATTTGCAGAACAGGTTCGCAATTAGTGCACTCACAAGTCCCTTTTACGTACACCCGTCCCTGAAGGAGCTCGCGAAGAACTCTGGTGAAAGAGGCAGAGTGGACGAGGGGGAAATTCACACATTACTAGAGAAGCTAGACATTCGTGACGGGGCAAAGCTTAGCTTCTATATAAATCTACTCCAGCTCTGCGAATCCACCGGAGAGAAGCTGATTGTGTTCGGAAACTTTCTGTTGCCCCTGAAATTTCTGGAGATAATAACCAGTAAATTGAAGGGCTACAGTGTTGGCCGCGAGATGTTTGTGATTACAGGCGACTACGACGCAGATGCTCAGGAGTCTGTGATGGAACAATTCAATCAGTCCCCGGCAGCCAGAGTCTTCTTCGGTTCTGTCAAGGCATGTGGCGAGGGAATCTCACTCGTCGGGGCTTCTCGCATTCTCCTCCTCGACGTTCACCTGAACCCCTCGGTGACCCGGCAGGCGATAGGAACGGCGTTCCGGCCGGGACAGACGAGGAAGGTTTATACTTACCGGTTGATCGCGACTGGCTCACTTGAAGAGGCGGACCATGCTGCATGCTTCAAGAAGGAATCCATCGCCAAGATGTGGTTCGAATGGGATGAGCTCAGGGGTCAGGACAACTTAGAAATGGAGCCTGTCGATGTCGATGCGTGCGGAGACATGTTTCTGGAAACTCCACTGTTGAAAGAAAATGTCGCAGCTGTCCACCGGAGGTGAGCAAACTTTGATTGATGCATTACATCAACTGTATATATTATGTATATAAATATTTAGTGTGTCTATGTAAATTATCTCTGTTCCATGTACATCTACTTGTTTCAAACAAAGATAGCTGGGGAAAATTAGTTCCTCCACGAATCTGGAATTGAGGATCGTTTTAATGTATATTATTCGTTTCCTAGAAAGTGTAAATTGTTGATCACAAGCGACATTTAATCCGACTGTATTAAAGAACACTACCCTAGCTGATATTAAAAAGCAAGCCATACTAATAGACACAAATCTTATATATTCAAGTCAACACTTTCTTCAAACCTTGTGATGATTGTATCTATGTTCTAAAGTAGATGACGAAGATGAAGATGACTTTTATAACGTAAGACTACTTAGTGGATATAAAATCTCATGTTCGGGCCCATACACAGTGTTTAGGTGTTCATCAACAACAAAAATTCTTTTTATTGAACTACCACCACAATTTAAAATTAAATTAGGAAAATTACAAATTTTGTATATATATATATATATATATGAGATAAATTATAATTTTTAGACTTCTTTTGTTTTTTTTTTTTTTTTTTTTGAATTTTACATTTTATGACAATAATTCATTGGCCTTACATTTATTCTCCAACATCGGAAAAAATTACGTGCAGGTCACGTGATCCAATGTGGCATTATCAGCGTTGAGGTGAATGCGAGCGGAGTTGAAGTGACCCTGAGTGGCATTTTTCGGGCAATGATGTGGCAAAATAATTTAAAATTAAATAAAAAATCTATTTTGGCAATTTAGTCTAACTGAGCCAAATTGCAAATACAATAATTGCAATTTGGTTTGTTTGTGTTGGTTATCTATTTTTGGCAATTTAGTTGGATTGGACCAAATTGTAATTACTGTGTATACAAAATTAGATTTTTTTAGAAAAATAAATTATATAATTTTATAAATTATTTTGTAACTTTATTGCCGGGAAAATGCCATTCAGCATCCACCTTAGTGCCGGTAATGGCACATGGGATCACATGACTTGAATGTGATTTTTTTGGAGAAGAAAATTAAGGCCAACCTTGGAAATATTATCCTAAAATGTGAAATTTAAAAAAAGGATAATTTACCTCACATATAGAACAAAATTTACAATTTTTCTATTAAATTATAGGCTTATTTCTTAATATGGGCCCTCTTGTCTATCCATGTAGAAGATATTGCATGTTGGTTAGTTTCGTTAAGTTACCCACAACTTTCGGATAATCTTACGAGTTTCTAGTAATTGTGTGGTTTCAAGAAGTGTCCCCAACCTAGCTAATACCCTGCAAATTAGGACATGAATGATGTAATTTTCTATTTTTTTTTGGATGACGTGAGAACCCGCAACCGCTATCCGAAATTGCGCCAGTGACAGGTGGTCACAAATTCAACCCCTACACCACCGGACCATCCCTTACGGGACAATGATGTAATTCTCTCTCTTTTTTTTTTTTTTTGGATGACGTGGGAACCAGCAATGATGTAATTCTCTTTGTTTGAAGAAGAAGTGTTTTGGAAATAAAATAGAACAGTTATTGCATTGCATTATCTTTCCCTCTTTTCAACCAACAATTGTGATAACACTTTCTCTTAAACATTTAGAATTACTTATTTATTTTAGAAGTACATTTGGTTTTGTTCTCGAGGCTGGCATATTTACATTTATGCTAAATAGGATCAGCACATATATATATATATATATATTCAGTTTTTTGTTTGATGTTTCAGGATGTTTTCGAACCTACACAGCATATATGAGAAAAAGGGTGGTGAGGATGAAGATTAGTGTGAGCACTCTTTTATATTCCAACATGATATTGACAATGTTGTCGCATTTGTGGAGTGATTGAAATGCCAATTGAATCAATTATTCAATATAAGTTCTCGAAGGTATGGATTTTCATTCACTATATCGTCGTAGCTTATAGTTATTAGTTACTCAATTTCTTTCGAAACTTCTATTTACGTATGTTTCAAAATTCTTTTAATACTATTAATCAAATTTGGATTTCTCGAAAAACAAATATAAAATATACACAACATATTTTCAAAAACATTCAATCATTTCTTTATATAATATTAAATATCTATTTGTATTCAATTTTTTACTATTTCTAAATTATCCAAAATCACAAAATAGATTTAGCTATATCAAAAGTGTCTTCATATTCAATTCTCTATTCATTTCTTTTTTTTTTTTTTTTTAAATTTCTACATTAATCCATAACAAAAAATACGTTCGAAATATATTTAATCGTATAAAAAATTTCTTTATTAGTATGTATTGTCATATCTATAATGTTTTCACTCTATATTTGTTTTATTAATGCAAATCCCAATTTGCTTTATATTGTAAATAATATGGTGGGTGGTGTCACACTTAAAGGTCGTATCATTTATTTTTACAAAGTGTAAATTATGGTTCACAACAAAGATTGAGCTGCAAAACTCGGAATGATTGTAATATAAGTTCGTATTAGTCTATCTTCGGCTATAAAATTGCAATAGTTCACTTTGTGTAGATTAAGGAGAATCATTTTGAAATGTTTAATTTATAGTGATTTTATAAGAGAGCATAGCCCTAGTTGACATGGATGTTCATCCTCTAAATTCCAATATAGCAGTAGGCACATAAGCTTAGTAAGTGTCTTTCATATTAATCAAATGTTAAGATTTATGTATTAATTTTACGAGGACGATGGGTTAAAACCCCGTTTAGATTAGCTTCTTATAGGGGTTTTTAATTTCTACTTCTAACATTATTAAGTTAAAATTAAGCTTTTATTCCTAATAATAATAATTAGAAAAATAATAGTTATATATTATACTTCAATTATAATTTAATTTCTATATTACATTATAGTTGAAATTTAAAATTATAATTGAGATATTAAATTTAAAAATGTAAAATTTTAATGATACTAGAAACATAAAATTATTAATTCTTTCATTTATAAAATTTTAAATTAAATTATAGAGTACAATTCATGTAACATTAAATTGTAATTTTATTTTATATATTATCTTTAAATTAAAATTTGAAAATATAAGTTACCAAAATTAAAAAATATATGTATTTTTTATACAAGATATAATTTAATTTTTAAATATAGTTAATAAAAATTAAAAATAAATTATAGAAGTTTAATCGTAAATTACAAGTATGTTAACGTGTCCTTTTGGAAAATTTTCACATAAGCATTTTCAACTTTATATCCAACCATTTTTTTTTCAAAGTTGTTTTTAAAATTATCCAAATATATAAAATCAAATAGATTATGCTTTAAACTTTTGTTTTGCCTTTTACTTCTTTTTAATGGCCCAAGAAATAATATTGACTATCTTGTGTACTATGTTTACTGTAAAAGAAATTTATGTCCTATTTTAGAATGGCGATGTCCTCACAAAAAAAATTATAAAGATTATCTTGTATACAATACATGTAGATTTAATAAAATTGAATAGCACTGTTCTTAAAAGAAAATAGTAATTAGTTAAATTGTCTATAACATAACTAAACTAATGAACATGTGATATTTTAAGCATGGCTAGACAAAAGAGTAGATATTAAGAAAGAAACCAATAATCTTATTTGAATTTAAGATGGTAGTTCAAAGAAATACTTTCTATAAGACCAAATTGTTGTTGATGGGCTTAAACAGTGTCTTTGAGCCAAACATGTGAATTTTAATTGCACAAAGAGATCTACTTGTGCAAAAAGATTTTTTTTTTCACTTACTCTAAAATACATGGAAATCATATTCTCCATTCTCGGAGTTCCTACCCTAAGACACATTGAAACTAGATTTTTCTATTTCAAAGGTTTCTATCCTAAAGATACTTCCAAATCAAGGTTGAAAAAATTTGAAGAAAGTGGGCAGACAAGTAAGCCATCAAAATTGCTTGGAGGATCGTCCCTATCGCCCACACGATGTCTAGATTGAAGAGTAAAGAAATACAATAGAAGATCCAGAAGTTACTGGTTCAAATCAAATTCAAATTGTTCTTGATCATTTACCTTAAAATATAAAAACTAAATCTTTCCATTTCAAGGTTAAGAAGATTTAAAGAAGGTGGATAGTTGAGTAAGGTACCGCGTCGCCCCGGTTTCCCACACTACGTTCTTATTGAAGAGCAAGGGAATACATAGAAAATCAAGAGGTTACATGTTCAAATCAGATCCAAATCGCTCTTGTCTCCTCAGTTTTCAATTTAACAAAAAGGTATGAGTCACAATCACTATTTTTTATTGTACTTATGAACCATCTCAATAATTTATTTTTAAAAAATCTCGCCACAATTTAAGTTTTTTTTTTTTAATATAAAATTATTGAGACATTGCCTTCAGTTTTTTCTAATAACGATAAATCTCATTAAAATTGCATTTTTTCTTACAACTTAATTTTACAATTTGCTAATTTGTTGTACAAAATATTAAATACTTGAATTTGTGATATGGTAATAATAATAATAATAATAATAATAATAATAATAATAATAATAATAATAATAATAAGATCATTAATTTTCGTACTCATTCGTTGGATCTCGACCAATCAATGCAACGTCTTTACACCATCTGGATGTCCGAAAGTACTCAGGTAATGATCATTGATAGTTAGAAATCGCATGCATTAAATGTTCATGTTATATGCGATATTTGATTGATTTTGATTGGATTCTACATAATTTATATGCATATAGTTTATTTGTTGTATGCAGAGGGCAAATATTAAATTTGGCGTAATTGGTAGAAAAAGTAAAGAAAAATTCAGATTTGCACCACCTAGTTAGTCATGGCCATGACTAACTATACCTTCTTGATATGGGAATTTAATTAAAGGCCCAAAAGTCTAACTACAAAATAATTAGGGCAAAAATTAAATAAAAGGAGGGATCATACGTTTCAAAAGGAAAGAACGGCCGGGACAGACGAGGAAGGTTTATACTTACCGGTTGATCGCGACTG